AATTAAGGAATTGGGTAAATTTGGTAGAATATTTATTGGAGTAAAAGAGCAATTAAGTTCAATTAAGGAGTTGAGTAAATTTGGTAAGCTAATTATTTTAATATTATAGCAAAGGAGAGTTGTTAATTTTCGAAATCTTTGTAATCCTCTTGAGTCGTTTAATATGTCGTCCTTATTAAGTTCCGTAATCGTTAAACGATCAATAGCATCATCTAATTCATCTATTTTTATCCGATCAAAATTTTTAATTAATAAAGATAAACCTCCATGTAATGAATTCTCAATACTGGAAGTAGAATAACGGAATTGCGCTGATAATTTTTCATCATTAATATTGATTTGTTTGTTTTCCTACATGTTAGATTTTGTAATAATTGAATTTAATTGATCAATTACTTGACTCATGTTCGGACGATTGTTTGGCTCATTATCCCAGCACTCTAAAATCGTATAAAAAATTTAATGCCTGTGAACTTAAACTTTTATTTCTAATTAAATATACTTACCGGTATAAATGTTTACATAATCTTTAGGTGTATCAGGAACTATCCTTTCTCTACGTCCTTGTGAAATTTCTATAGCTAGACCAATATCATATTCTTACCTTTAACATAAAAAGGTGGACGACCACTTGATAGTTCCCATAAGAGCACGCCAACACTGTAAACGTCACTCTTTTTGTTTAGTGTATAATGTATCGATGTATCGTCATTTTTTCTTTCTCTAATTAAATGTTTTGGATCAATATAAGGAATTACACCAAAAACTTTTTGACAGATTAGTTGAAGCTTCGATTCTTTTCGATAAACCAAAGTCTGCTAGTTTAATAACGCCTTGATGGATTAATATATTGCCTGAATGCTATTCTTATTAAAAAAATTTTATTATTAATTACTAAACGGAAATGTTCATAATAAACGAAATAAGGTTTACCAAATCACGATGTATAATTCCTTCGTCGTGTAAACATAATACAGCACAAGCCAACTGGAGTGCCAAGTTGTATTTATCTCCCCAAGCAAGCTTATTAATATTATTCTTCAAATAGTTTTTAAGCGAACCACCATCAGCATATTCCATTACTGACCAATAATTTTTTAATTCATTTTGATTTTCTATTTATTTTTTATATAAATGAGTTAAAAATAAAATATAAATATCAATATATAACAATTATTAATCTCATTTTTTAAATTTTTCTACCTTGTAATCCCCAAAAAGCGGATGATATTGCTATGAAAATCAACTTCCCGTTGAAGTTCAATCTAAATTATTATGAATATAAATTTAGCTTATGATTTTATACCAAATGGACCAATATAGACTGAAATATGTATTGTATCTTTATTACCTCACGAACAAATTCTTTAACAGTGACATCGTTAAAGTTATGAAATGATTTTAAAGCAAGATGTGAACTTTTCCAATTTGCACGATAGACTTTTCCAGAGCTGCCTGTAACTATCTTTTGCAAATTTTTTAAACCTTTATATTCATAAAATTTGATAATTTTTCTTGAGACTGATTCTTCAATCCAATAAACCCACTCATTCGAATTATTGACGTCTTGCATTTTTATTTTTTAATTTTGTTAAAATGAATAATTCTTGGAGAAAGCAAAAAAAAAAAATGCATGTACTTGGTAAATTATATAACGTTAATTAAAGTTTAATAAGGGGTCATTAATGTATGACCGGTGTAACGTGAGAAAATCTTGATCTTTGGTATTTGTGAATGCATGGCGACGTAATCGTTTGTCATACCCTATACTGCAGACGTTCGTGAATGTCCATCTACTCATTATTCAAATTCGTTAAAGTAAATTTAATACATTGTTTTTACGGAGGAGATAATTTTTAAAAAAACTTTAATTTATGCAAAGAATGAATTTCAACTTTTGTGATTAAAGTCATGATTTATTTTATTTATTTTTTTTTTTTCGAGTATTTCATGAATAATACCAGGTATTGTTCCACAATTAAAGAACTAATGAAATTAAAATAGAATGATCATAAATGGAACAATTGGCTTAGACGATTGGAGAATTTGAAGTCACGTCAGTTTACCGACATTGAATCTGCCAGTATTGGCGAAATGTTCTTGTAAATGATCTTTAATTTATTATTACGTTGTAACAAAAAATTTTGCCAAGATGTCATTATTTTTAATAAATTGGAAACTTTAATTTAGGAAAATTCAACCTCATTTACATGAGATAATAAATCACATGAGTCGTAACATGAATTCAATGCAATTTAAATAAAATATGATTGTTCGAAACATTTTATAATTTGTATCAAATCTAATCCAAGACGTGCTTGAATACACAGAAATTTATTAACAATATTTTCGTTTATAAAATTAATTTTTTATTTTTTTTGCGCTGTTTTATCAACAAATTTAATTTTTGGAGCTAAATAAGGTTGACATTCTTATCTGCATATGGATATGCTTTTTGCTTTTTTATTGATGCTTGATGCTTTTGAATATTCTACGAATAAAAGTTTAAATCATACCTTTATTTGCTTAATAAATTTTTGTTTCGAAATATTCACTTAAAACTGGTTATGATATATAGGAATTGTTCTTCTTTTGTTACAATTTAAAATGTACTTTTTCGGATTCATGACGATATTTATTTAATTTTATAATTTTTTTTTTATTAATCACGTTAATTGGTATTTTTTAATTCTATTTTCTATTTTTTTCTTTTACCCGATCTTCTTCATTTCATTTAGGCTATATTATTAGCGTTAATTTTTTTAGGCAAATTCTTTCAACTTTTTACTTGGTTTTTTTTTTAGCTGGTTGTATTGTCGAAAATTAGTTTTTATTTCCGATTATATTTTTGCATTAAATTTTGCATTAAATTATTTATTTCTTATCAATCATAGGTTTTTTTTTTTTTTTTTTTTTTTGCGGATTGGACGGCGGTCGCAGCTAATTATTTAAAATTTTTTTTTTGGCTTCGGAAGTAAGCGCGTATGTATTATTATTATTTTATTTTTTTCATCTTTTCTATAACTTAATTCTTTTTTTTTTTTGTTATATCGCATTGTAACAATTTTTAATTCTATAGTTGTAGATTTAACTTTATTTTCTAATGAAATTTTGTCATAACTAAATCTGATTGTGATGTTAGTGTATCAAAATTTGGATTAAACACGGCCTAAATCATTTGAAAATGGACATGATTGATTTAAAAACTTTGGTTATATTATTAATAATTGAAAAGTATTTATTCAATTATAAAATATTTTATCTGTAATTTACTATTTGATGATTTTTTCTAGTACAATTAGTTACTACTCATTTATTTTGTCAAATTGTAAAATTACTATTTGATAACATTATTTAATATAAATAGTTTAATAACTAACGCTAATTATTAATTTATTTATTGAAGTGAATTTTTATAATATTTCTTAACTATCGTCACTTTCTTGAATTTGTGATCTTTTCTTTTTTTCATGATAGTATGATCTTCATCAGATAGTAACTCTACCTTTCGCAAGTGCTGATAGTTGTTCAAGGGAGGGTAATTGATTACCTTTGGATGAAATATTTTGTGTCATTTTATATTAGAATAGAGATGATATAAGAAAATAGTTAGCTCCATCATAAGCACATTAAATATAGAAAGACGATTATGGATCTAATAAATTAAAAATATATATATATTTTTTTAAAAATAACAAATTAACATCTTCAAATTCAACGATAGTATATACAACTTTGTTGGCGGTTACACTGAAAATTTCGTACAGTGGCCCTCGATTGATTATCACATTGAATTTAAGATAAAAAAAATATAAGGAAACGAATCTATAAATGAAAATTTCTTTTTTTTTTTGAAAAATAAGAAATAAATTTTAATCTTACCGAATTTTCAATACATTCTTTGCGGAGCTACTTGAGTGCTATTAATTTTATAATGATAGCATCGACAAGTTTTTTAAATTCAATGTCTTTGCAATATGTATTAAAGTCATTATCCTTATTGTATTCGGCTGGAAAAGAGAATGCAATTGAAATCAAAAGGATAACGATCAAGAAAATGGCGGCTGATAACTTTATTTTTTTACTGAATACTTAAAAAAATCAGTAGAAAAGGGGGAAATCCACTTTTCAGTCAAATATTTTTTTATTGGTCATGTGAAAAAAACTAGCTTAATAACTAAAATTACTCAAAATTTGTAGATTTCCCCCTTTTCTATTGACCCCATATAATTATTTTTAAAAATAATTTTTACATCACATTTTTTTCTTTTAAATTCCTAAAATTATTCTTAAAAAGAAGTGAAGAAATTTAATTGAAAATTTTACGTTTATATAACTTTAAAAAATTTTTTTTTTCCATTTTTATCCGAATCTCAAAGGAAATTGTACTTTTTTTCCCTTTCGAATAATTTGGCAATACTATCATATTAATTATGTTATTGAATCGACCTTCAATATTAGGATTATGTTGTAAATGATAATTTCAGTTATACCGCATTGATTTTTTTTAAATCTTTTTGTTTCTGGAAAAGAATTTTCTGTGTAATCGTATGAACCTATCAATTTAATTCCGGTTACCAAAAAGGAAATATCTGCACAGGAAATAAAAGTTTGAATTAATTTTTTTTTATCTTTTTAGTAGTATCGAACTTGTTATGCAAATTTACAATACTAAGCAATTCCCGGGTAATTTTGGTAAGAATTATTTGATAATTATATAATAATAGAAAATATTTATTTCACAAGAGAAAAAAAACCTAGCAGCAAGAATTTTTAATAATTAGTGAGCGTCAAAAATATCGTGAGCAATATATTTCTTGTTTAAATTGAAAATGAGACTATAATTATCATAGGACACTGTTGAATAAATTTGAAAATTGAAAATATATAATTCTAATATAAATAACCCTATACTCAAATATTTCAAAGAGTTTCAGACGGATATAAATGACTCAATTATCCTTGTCAATCCATCGACGACGTCTGCGCCAACGAGTGGAATGGAAACTAATAACGTTGCAAACCAACAACCACCAATTGACTTATTTCATAAAGATCCTTCTAGGCCTTCATATGAAGATCTAGGGAAAGAACAATGCGGCCAAAAAGATGAAAATATTCACAATTCCAAACTAATGAATCTTTATTCAATGAACATGAAGAACGGAATATATCAGAAAACGTAATTTCAGCCAGTAGAGATCAACTAATGAATACAATTATAAATGACTTTGGTATGTTAAATTATTTCTTTTGTCTTGTCTGACAATATTTATAAATCTCAGAAAAATATCCCAATTTGAAAATCGCAAATTTCTTGTGCTTTACGATAAAAAAAACTAAAAAATTGAGATATTCTTTGACACTGCTCAACGGTTAGCAAATAATTTCAAATATTCAATTAAACCATTTAAAACTTTGAATACAGATGAATTATTGCAGTTAATGAGCATAGAGAGCTAATCGCTATATTTGATACAAAAAAAGTTTTGGTGTGTTAAATGTTTCTTGGGATTTATTCATATAGTTTTAATAAAACATAGATTAATTAAATTATTTTGAAAATAGTTGAATGTACTTTCTTTTAATGATGGACAAAGCAGATTTATATTCCAGTTACTACAATGGTACAATAATATGGTCCCGAATCTTCAGCATTTAATTTTTGTTAAAGATACTGAAGAACTCTGCTTTGTTGAGCAAGGTGGTCGGGCATGTATTTTCAATCTTGTTAATAAGCAATTTCGACCAGCGGTTTGTAGTTTTCCATCAAATACTGCTAATGTTCTGAGTTCACCTGATGGATCATGTATTGTAGCGTTTATAAAAGAAAAATTCGAGTATAATGTTGATAGTGTTACAGAAATCAAGGACGATACAATGAATTTTAATAATGAATTATAACATAATTCTGTCGATGCCAACAATAATGAAATATCCCGCGCTTATGTTTAATTTTGCACAAGTTTTGGCGGTTCTGTTAATAAAGGTAATTTAAAAAACTAATATATGATGAAATTGTTTTTTATGTATTGTCTATTCCTATCGTTGATTATTTATTTAATTAATAATAAATTAACTAATTCATAATTATTGATAAATAATTTTATTTATTTTTTTTTGATTTATGATTTTATTAATTAGATCGGTAGATTCGCGACTTTGGTTTCTCACGGCGGCGCAGTAAGGTGGGTAACTTTTTTTGATTATTAATCAAAATCTAATGGCTTTTTGGTTAGGACCAATCCCGCCATTTCATACGAACGTGATTGCGGCACCCTTCGGCTCATCACGTGACGCAGCCAAGTGCATGATGAAAATTTCTTTTTATTAATAACAATTCTACCCGATGATGTCCCAGATTTCAAGGACAATAAGTTTCCGGATATTAAAAATCGCGATTGTTATTAGTAATAATCAATTAAAAAATAAAAATAAATAAGACTAAACAAAAAAAAATTAAAAAAAAAGAAATAAATTAAAGAAAAAAGTAAAAAAAAATATTTAAAAATAAAAAGAATGAGGGAGGGGGAGGGGAGACGAATAAAAAAAATATAAATACTATAAAAAAAATAAAAAAAAAAATACATATCTTAATAGTCACTTTTTATTTTGTAGGTTAGGAACATGGACGTGGCACTTCGGACGCGACCCTACGGCGGCGCAGTCAGGTTCGATCCTTTTTTTTTTGCATTGATTGGGATTACTAACTCACTTTTTTTTTTTTTATTATTATTAATTATTTTCTATTCTCTAGGGCGATTTGGATCGTCACGGCGGCGCAGTCAGGTTCGATCCTTTTTTTTTCTGCATTGATTGGGATTATTAATTCCCTTTTTAATTACCTTTTTTTTTCGATTTTGTAGGTTAGGGCCGACTCTGCCTATTCAGGTGAACGTGGACGCGGCACTTCGGATGGCCTTCGACTCATCACGGCGGCATAAACAGAAGTAACAATTAGAACAATGTTAAAATCAAATCTTTAAGTGATAAAAGAATATGAGAGATTAGAAGCAAAAGCATCTGAACTATTAACATTATCTAGACCACTTCAAACAAATAATTAAACTTTCTTATAAATGCATTAAGAATATATCATAACTAAATATCAATAAAGTAGTACAATAGCCATATCTAGTGGCGATGAAGTCGCCGCACACCAACCTAATCTAGGTATTTTATATAATTTTGTATTTAATTCATCAAACTTTAAGGATTATTGCAATTAATAATTGCTACTCATATAATTACATTTAATTAATACATAATAAAAATAAAAAATGATAATATGGGAGGTTTGTTATATTAATCCGAGTTACGAATATAATAAATCATATGTTCCATGATTTAATAACATACCTCCCATATGATCTATTTTAATTACTGATTAAAAACTTCCGGTCTTTAAATAGTTCTAGATAATTAATATAATATCAACATTGTCTCTGTTTTAAACTTAAACTTATAATTATTATTTTAAAATTAATTTAATAATTTACCTTCTGGAATTTCTAAATCATCTTGATCTTCTGAATGAAAATTTGAATTATTATATAATTCTTCATCGTCTAATGAGATTAAAAATAATTAATTTTATGTTCGGTAATAAAGTAACTAGTTTTATCTATTCTTACCATCACTCGCCTTAAAACTTCTTTGCATATAGTACGTCTCAATTTTATCGTTAATATTTATTCCTAAATAATACATTTATAGTTATGATATATTAAGAATTGAATAAAATTTACAAATAATTACCTCCATTGTCATTACTAAGTTTTATTTTTTTTGATTTAATTTTTGATTCTTTTTGATTTTCTAATCAAAATAACAAAAATATTAATACAAATATGTCCATTATTAATTATAACGAAATATCTCATTACCATCATATTGATATGAAGAATTCCTCTTAGACTTGCCAATTTTCATATCTGTTACATAAAGTTTTAAATTAAACAATATCTGAATTGCAAATCAAAATATTATAAAAATTTATTTTTACCTATAATTGCTGTAGAAACATTCTGTTCGGTATAGTCTTTAGATATTTCTTTTAATTTTTTTTTTATAAGAATATCAAATTAATTATAAATTTCTTATTGGTTGCATATAAACTAATATTACTTACTATCTGGAATATAAAGACTATTTTGCTTGCTATCATAAGCTTTTTTTATAAAAAAAAATTACATTTACTAATTTAATATTAAATAAAACCTTAATAATTAAATTTTTTTAAATAACAACCTTCTTGCTCTTCTGTAAATTAAAAATAATAATTTAATCTTCAAATAAATAAAATTTAATAGCATACCTTCTAAGGCATTTCTTGGTTCAGGTAAATTTTTAAAATTATAAAATTTACTAAACTTTCTAACTAATGAACTAATAGACGTAGAACTTATATTAGATTTTGCAATTGATTGTGTACAAGTAATATTATTTTGATAATATGACTTTTGTATTTCTAGAAATTTATACCAAATGGTATCAGTGGGTCTTTTCAATGGATCAGCATCCCAACATTGTGTCATTAAATTTCTATATTCTGATGGAGTTCCTAGCACTACCTTCGGTCTCATCCCATTCATTATTTTTGTCACAAGGTCATAATCATGATCAAAATCAGCAAAAGGCGGTTTTCCAGATGAAATCTCCCACATAAGCATACCAAGACTATAAATATCTGATGCAAATGTATATCCTTTTCCAAAAATTACTTCAGGTGCAATATAAGGAAGATTTCCATATATGCTTCCTAATGGTTTATCAGCAGGACCGCAAAATCCAAAATCACTAATATGCCAACTATCAGTATTTTTAGAATATAGAATATTTCCTGAATGCAAATCTCTATGAATAGAGTTTTCGTTATGTAGGAAATAAATTGCTTCAATTATGTATAAAACTATATTAATTCTTTGTTTCCATGTAAGTTGTTGATGATTTTGTTGTAAATATTTTCTTAAATCCATATCAAGTAATACCATTACTAAATAATATTTATTTTGAGGATCTTGAGTAAAACCACGAGTTTCAACGAATGATCCCCATTTGCTGCTTAATATTAATTGAGATTTAGCCTATAAATGAGAATTCAATTAATTAGTTGCTTTCTAACTTACATTTTTTTATATAAAATAAGTCAATTATTACTGCTTTTAAAAATTACATACCTCTTCAAACCAACTTCTATTAGCGCTTTCGACATTTCCTAATCTTTTAAGTATTACTTTTTCGTTTTCAAGTCTTGTTAATTTTTTTCCAATATAATTCCATTCGTCATAACCACCACCATTCCAATCTGCTGTATAAATTTCAGAGCATCCACCTTTAGTTAAATATTCAATATTTTGTAAATTATTGTACGGAATCCATTCAACTATTCTAAATGGAAGAACCACTTCCGTCTGACATTTCTGTATTAAGGTATCTATTTCATTATTTCCAGATGTCCATTCTGAAAATTTTGCTTTTAAATAATTTCGAATACAATGCTCACAATATGATGTAGCTAAACATACATTTTTGCAATTTTCACAAACTCTTTTAATTCCTTGATTTAAAGAAACTTTTCCATGGTCATAACTCTCAATTAATGATCGTATTATCTCTGATTTTTCCTCGTTTGTGAGAGATTCGTCAGTTTGTTCAAATTCAATCATTTTGTGAAATTGATATAAGCAGTTAATTCATAAACTTTATTCGATGCATCGCCATAAGAATGGAGACATAATGCAATGAAAGAAAATAATCATTCAAATAACGGTGATTAAAACTCCATTATTCATCCAAATAGAATATGATCGACAAAGTGAAAGATATTGTAGTTCTTTAAGGAATGGATCTACCAAATAAAAGTAATTAATAACTTTTTGTACGTTATTTAAAATTTTATTGTGCTACATAACCTTAAATATGAAATAAAGTATATTACGCCTAACTCTTTCACTTTCCATTTTACACAACATATTTACACATTTTACACTATGGATCTTCAACGCCGACAAAAATCAAATAATTATACTAGAAGCCGTCATAAAAAATAAAAGGCGTCAAGATATTCAAATGCAAAGATTCAATGACGATCATCTTTTAACTGTCCTTATCACAACAAATATAAATTTTTTTCGTGTTTTTTTTTTTTTATCCATTAAAGATTGCAACGTCAGCCAAGACCTAAAACTGAAGGGTTCTGGATTGATTTTTTTCCATATTTAGTAGATGGAGTAGGTTATAATTCTTTTAGGCGTCATTTTAGTATAACTCTTACAACTTTTCGTACTATTGTGACTCGATTAGAAATCTATCAAGCCTTTACCCTAGACGCCTCTAATGCAACACCTGCATTAAAACAAATTGCCATTGTATTATGGCGATTAGCAAATGGAACTCGAATATCACTCGATCGATTTTTAGAGGCAATATTAGATTTAGAACAAGGACGAATTGCATGGATGGCATCGAGGATCACAGTAATTCGAGGATAAATTATTTGTCAAGTTGTCAAAAGGAGAGAAATGAGTAGTCGGAACGAAATTTACGAAAGTTGGTTTAGTTCTCTTTTTTTGAACCATCATAAAACTCGATAAAAAAAAGCAAGAGAGTAAAAGAGATTACTCAAGCGTTGATCACCATATAGGGATGGGGACGGTTCGAAAAGAGCGACTCCGAGTCGGTTCTGGAACCGATTATAAATTCAGCATATTCTGGGTTTCCCTGAGTTACAAACCATTTTTAAAAATCGAACCGGAACCGACTCCGGACCGGTTCCAAGAGTCGGCTCAAAATCGGATTGTCATCAAATTAAAGGTAATAATAGGACGAATTTGTTTGATAACCAGTCAAAAAATTTTTTTAAATTGATCATCAAATGATGCTCTATTAGTATAAATTTAACTTAACGCTCAAAGTTTAATTTACTTAAGAAGAGTCGAAGTAGAACCGAAGAGGAACCTAGTATTTTATATTTGAATAGTGGATAAATGAAGGCCACAAATTTTCCGAGGATTTTCGGCAATTTCAGAAGTCAATTATTGAAAGCTAAAAACTGATCCAGCCTTAAGTTATACGACCGATGTTGAATCCATAATGTAATCCTTCCAGCAAAGTCATTGTATTTTAATAGAATGTTCACATATCGTCTGTACTTATTATCGAGCATTATGCTATTAAGAAAGAACAAAAAACCAGCCTATGTTTCATGTACCAACAATGAGTGGCGGATGGCGTTTACACAAGTTATAAATTTAAGATGCCAGCCCTTGTCTAAGTCACTTTATGTTCATATACACAGGTAAAAAATATATATTAATTCTATGATATATTGGTTTAATAAACTTATAAGTTGATTTGTATTTTATTGTAAGCCTTTAATGAAGAATGATTTGGCTGAATTTGAAGAGTTGTGGAGCCTGAACTGGAGCAAAATATCCTCATTGGAATATCAAGAAGATAAGAGGAATATTCGACTCAATGCAGATTATACGCGTAATTTGTAAGTAGGAAAAAATATTTTGACATTAGATAATTAATCTGTATATATTTATCGATATTTCTTGAAGCTAATTCTATAGTTTCGGTATCACATGGATGGTTGTGGTTATCAACAAATTTGGAATCATACCCGTTTGTTTTCTAAGGTAAAAACTGACTTGCCATGGACAATTTGTTTTACTAGAAACTCTATCACGATGTATACTAACATCTTCTACTTTTTTTGGCTTAGCTACACCAGATTTCCAACAATTATAGCTATAACGTCGAACAATGGATTTATCAACTGCATCAAGATCTTTGCGAAATTTTTTTTACATTGAACTGTGTCCCAATTTTTAAAAAAATCACCGACTTTCATTTCAATAATGTTACTCTCATTGTCTATCATGTTTGCAAAATTATCATTTTCCGGAAATTCCGGTTGACTCGAGACTGTTGAAATTCCTCATAAATAGTCTTCCATTATTAGGAAAAAAAAAAAAAAAAATATTTTTTTTCACAATAGAAAATATGCAAAAAAATTTTGAAACTATCGTTGCTGAAAAAAAATAGTAAGTTTGAACGTACAAAATAAAGGAGTCTTTTAAAAAAAAGAATATAATAAATAGTTTGAAAAGTTTATTTTATGAAAATTTGATCATTACGCAAGCCACATTTACGCAGCCACATGACACTGGTAGTAGCCAGTTTTTATTTTTTCATCAAAGGGCTATGCTAAGCATGACAGTATTTTGATTTTATTGGTTAACCGATGAAGATTCTGATTGGCTAAACCAATTTCATAAGAAATTAACTTCGCAACACCAATCCTGAAGTTTCACAAAAAGTCTGTAAAAGAAATGATCATCTTTTCGTGTTCTAACCTTGCTCACGTGAATTCTGAAGGTTTTTGATAAAAAAGATTCCAAGTTTTATTAGATATTTTGGTCTTTAAAGGTTACAAAACCAATATTTTGACTTTGTATAACATGAAGGTATTTCTAAAGTTCCTCCTAGTAAAACTTGGTGGAACTAAGAGATCCTAGAGATTATAATGTAAATTAGGGTAGAATAGTAATAAAAGAATGTCTCAATAAAATTTCGTGGCAAACAGATGTGTCCTTCATGTAGTATAATATGACACATCATAATTATATATGGATTTACTATATAAATAACTTGTATAATTAACAATCATTTAAGAAACTCTGTCATGCTGCTATACTACCACTGAATCTAAATCATGATTTTATTGGTCATAAATATATCACATAATCTTTAAAATCACATGTATAATTTAAATCACGTGATATTTGTAAAGTTGCAATATATATTTCATAATATTAATGTTACATTTTGCAATATTTTTACAATAGTTTTTTAAGCATAATTTTTAACATTTTAATTTATTTTATAGAATTTTAATATCAAAATTAAATAAATACATAAGATAATCTCAGGATTCTATTAGAAAGCATTAAAAACAAGTAAAAAGTTCTGAAAAAATGCCATCAAATAAACTATCAGATGCTGAACCTAATAAGATTGATGAATCATGAATTAGAAAATTTTGGATGAAAGGTAGAGATTCAAAAAAATTCTGATATTAAATCATAAATTTTTATCATAATATAGAAAAAATTCTGATCTTTTCTGATAAAAATTTTGTATTTATTTATTACTATTTTGATTATTAAAATACATATTTAAGTGATTTCAGACTTAAATTTTACCTATTATCATCTAAATATTATTATATGTAGAAAAACTCCTTTTTATCACACAAGAAGAAATTGATAACTATATATAATTATGTGATATTTTTTTTAAAAGAAGAAGCTGTAATGTAACTTTATCCTAATATTCATTTAATTTAGAAAATTCAATAAGATTTAAATTGATATTAACGTAAATTGATTATTTCTGAATAAGATATACTGATGAATTAATTAATTCTCTAATAATTTAATAAGAATAGATATCTCAATTAGCAGTTATTAAAGATAAATATCATAGATCAAAAACTTGAACAACCCTATAAAGGACGTGCAGAATATTATAATATACAGTATGATCTTTAAGTTTTTTATAAGCTGCATGATATGCTTGTTAAAATACTAGATAAAATGATGATAAAAGAGAATTTAATCTTTGTAATATTGTATCTATAGTTAGTCTAAAATTATTTAAAATTTTTTTCATAATTATTTGTGCTTTAAGTATTATAATCTTTGTTCAATAAAAGAAATATTAGTTTATTTTCTTGTTAAAAAAAATTAAGATCAACTATAAATTGCTATGTATTATTCTAAATAAATACTAAATAATTTCTATTCATCTGTTAGATTGTTGATCTGTAAAGGTAGAATTTATTTTTTCAATTGTTAGTATTGCATTTTCTTTATTTTTTTCTTTATTATAAAACTCACAAATATAATCTAAATTTTGATATATATAAAATGTTATATGAAATCAAACATTCTATCTTGTTATATTAATAAAGATATTTTTTTACATTAGGTACTCCCTAACATTAAAGATATAATATACAATCAACTCTCTATAAATGCATTCTCTTAGAACTAGATATAAGGATGTGTTTAAAATTTATAAGTAAACTATATAAAATTTTTTATAAAGAATGTATTCACAGAAAGTATATATATAAAAAACATACATTTAGTACTAAGATCTAAGTTGAGACTAGATAAAAAGGTATATATATAAAAGTTATACATTTATAGAGAATGTATTTATAGAGAGTTAATTATATAGTATACTTTTCAGCTTTTACTATAAATAAAGTTTGTTTAATATTTACAAGTAATTGATGCATATCTTGAAAATAATTAATCGATACTCATACTTCCTAAAATATATAAATTATAGAGTTATTTTAAAATTATTTAATATATATTTAAATAAATATTAATATAAAATATACAGTCAACTTTTAATATAACGAACTCTTAATATAATGAATTTTTTAAATAAATATAGTAAAAATACTTTTGTTATAGAAAATTAGTTAATCAAATCTTTTAAAATCTTTATTATAGCCTTATAGTAAAGTTGAGATCTAAGACATAGAGTTTGTTATAACAAGAGTTGACTGTACTAATCCAATAAGATTTAATATGTGTGCTAAAAATGACAAATAAACTAATTGAAATATTAATAGTTTTAACATATTATGATAATACTTTTTCATATAAAATGCTGAATCTAATGTTATTAATTATGATATATTATTAACGAAATAATTGGCCAGTTATAATAAAGTTATGTGAATGATGTAGTATATGATTTCTTAATTTAGAATTCTGAAAATACTAAGAATTCTGCAAATTCTGAAAATACGAAAGATCTATGTAATTCTAAAGATCTTTTAAATACTGATAATAATTCTAATTTTACAAATTAAATGAAGTCTAAGAATATTTAGCATTATATGTATTTTTAATATTCTAAATTTTATTGTTATTTTTATTTTATCTTATATTTTTATTATTTTACATATTTTTATTATTCTCAATGTATTTATTTTACTTATATTTTATTTTGCTAAATTAGTTAGTTTATAGTATAGTAAATAGTTAACTATGACAAAAGAAATTTTGTATAAATAAATAGACTTTTTGCTTATGTTGTAAATTAACTCCTTTGCAAATATGAGTTTCAATATTAATAAAGAAATCAATTCAAAACTTATATCTTTCTGCCTCTTCATATCTTCATATAGTTAACGTGATCTCTACACATTATTTGTAATTGAGTTCGTCATCTGAATTCTTTAATTAAAATTGTTTATAATCTTGTCTTTCAAGTCTTCATACTTGGTAGATTTGTTTAAGTTTAACGCATAAATTTAGTACAGTTAAGAGTTAGACAGATCCTAATGTCTTGATCGCAGTAAGCTGCAGTTAGAAATTTTGAATAGAGACTTGATAATATGACCACCTCAAGTTAAAGAATTCTACAAAGATAATATCAAAAGAAATTTTCTATTGAA